GGGGTGGGGTGTGGGGGACTGTGAAAATGTAAAAGGATGTGAAAGTGTTTTTCCTGTTAAATATTTTTTTACCAGTTATCCTTATTAAACACGCAAAATAAATAGAAAAAAAGAGAGTGTGCGTGCATGTATGTATGAGAGAGATATTGACCACAAAAAGAATCTAAACAAGTTTGACCCAGTGACCTTCTGACGACCTTGGTCAAGCAAGACACCCAGAGGGTCTCCGCAAAGTGAACGGGTGTCAAGTGTCCCACGCAGACCTATGAATACTGATCAGGGGTCACGATGATGACACACCTGACTCAAACTGGACAGGATGCAGTCTGACCTTCCCTGCAAGTGCACAGTTTAAAGATATGAATACACAATACAATGGTTTGAACACAGGATAAGCTGCTGCTAGTAAAAGAGTTTTGTGTCTAGACTGTTGAAGAAAAAAAGGCATATGGGTTCTGAAATTAGTACCAAGGTGATTGCAGATAACTATAATAAAATAACTACATTTATACATGCAATAAATGTAAAACTAAATATTGAGGTCTCTTGTTGTCAAGATTTAGTACAGTTATGTGAAAAATTATACTGCACGAAGAACCACATTAACCCATTACAAATGCTTTATCTTGTAAATACAAAAAGTCTAAAAATATAAATTAGAGAAACTAGCAAATAATTTTAGGACAATGACACAAGAAAGCAGCAAGTAAGAGAATAGAATAGTGGGCCGTGTCTTTAGAAAGCCTCGCCTGGACGAAGCTCACACACCCATGTTAGATATCACAAACCAAAGCAAAAGACTCTTCATAAGACAGCTGCAATTGAAATGTAAATTAGAATTAGTCAAGGCTATAGAGAGCAACTTAGCTGAGAATAAGAAATTTAGCATCTACTGAATAAATTTGCAATAAATTGACATCACAATATGTCCAGAGACACAGTCTTAGCTGCCACTTAGGCCTTTTGTTACAGCTTTACATTCCTAGCTTTATAAACAGAGAACAGAAGTGTGAATTATCTAAATGTTTATGATGATGCTGAAAAGTCAAAGATATTATGTTGCAGCAGTTAAACTCTTGCAGATTATTGCATGGCAATACTTTGCTTTTCAACACAGCTTTTCACTTCACAAGATGTTAACTGATGGACTGGAGTGGTGTGGATTACTTGTGTATTATTGTGATGTTTTTATCAGCTGTTTGGACTCTCATTCTGATGGCACCCATTCACTGCAGAGGATCCATTGGTCAACAAGTGATGTAATGCTACATTTCTGCTTCATGCTACATCTACATCTTGGATGGCCTGAGGGTGAGTAAATTTTCATTTTTGTCTGAAATATTCCTTTAATGTGAAGGCAACATGGTAAAAGCAAGTAAAAGAGCATGAATAAGGTTTAACATAAAAAAACGATCAAACAGCTTAGAAACCTTCTAAAACACAAAGGAAATTACAAAGATACCCACATTCTGACATCATACTGTAAATATTGGACAATGGGATTTAAATATTTATCAAAATACTCTCCTTTATACTAATTATATCATCAACATTGTAAATGTTATGGATAGCTAAGAATTTAACATTCAAAAATTTTAACAAGTAAAAACTAAACAGAATGAAAACAAGAGCTACAATACAGCTGCCCTAAGCAGAACTAAATATACAACTTATAATAATAGCACAATTTCCTGCCCTGAGGTACCATTGTAGTGATGTCCAAAAGTAAAAAAAAAGACAAATGGCTTGACAATCCATATCAAAATTTCCATTCTTTCACTCCCATTAAAGTCAGAGAAAGTTCCCTGTTGAGACAAAAACACTGAAGTGCACAAGTCATTTCTAGATAATCTCATTATCAAAACGGTTCCTTTCAGTTAAAGTTTTGCTTCGTTGTAGAGTACCTTACAAAAATGTTTTCCACACAAAAAAAAAAAAACATTTTGAGGAAAAGCAAATTCCCTTTGTGAGGTCCTGCTAAGTGTCCTCGTCCCAAAGGCACAGCTGTTTATGAGGTGTGTAGAAGTCAAAGCGGTAGCTTTTGCTGCAGCTCTTAATGCCACACTTGTAAGGGTTCGGCCCCTGGCCCCGGCAGTACTTCAGCTGACAGGGGAACCACTCCAGGTTTAACCTGTAACTGCAGGCGCAGGGCTGCCACGGGTCTGTACTGGAGCTGCAGCTCTGCAAGCCAGTCACATTCAGACTCTGAGGAAAGACCTCAAATATTGAGCCTTCCACCCCTGTCAAAAAGAAAAGGACTCGGTTGAAAAGGCCCAGCATGCAATCATGGTCATTTTCAAAAAATAAAAATAAAAATACATTTTTGACAGAAAAAAATGTTGTAGAGTGGTATGACATTTGCAGGTTATTAGTCATTTTTTGCACTCACATTCAACCCTAACACTAAAACAGTAATATTGTCACATATTATTACAATTTAAAATAAGTGTTTTCTATTTGAATATCTTTTAAAATGTAATTTATTCTTTTAGTGGCAAAGTTGAATTTTCAGCATCATTACTCCAGTCTTCAGTGTCACATGATCCTTCAGAAATCATTCTAATCTGCTGATTTGGTGCTCAAGAAATATTTCTTATTATTACCAATGTTGAAAATGGTTTAATATCAATATTGTTGAAAACAATGCTTAACATTTTTGTGGAAACTGTGACATTTTCCCCCAGGACTCTTCGATTAATAAAAAATTCCAAAGAACAGCATTTATTTAAAATAGAAATAACACATTTTGATCAATATAATGCATCCTTAAAATTTTATGCAACATAAAATTATTAATTTCTTAAAAAACATCTTAGTGACCACAAATTTTTGAAGGGTAGTCTATCGATCTGTCTGTCTGTCTATCTATCTATCTATCTATCTATCTATCTATCTATCTATCTATCTGTCTGTCTGTCTGTCTGTCTGTCTGTCTGTCTGTCTGTCTGTATATCTATCTGTCTGTCTGTCTATCTATCTATCCGTCTGTCTGTCTGTCTGTCTGTCTATCTATTCAGTTATTTTGCTGGTAACTTCCAGCAACATGCAAACGAAGAACAGCTTTCGAGAGCGATAACTAAAATTTCACTATTCTATATGATTGGTCTGTAAACACATACATGGATACAAGAAAATAATGCATGAAAATGAACTGTCAGCATTCTTATTGAGTTTGATTGCTACATTGATGGTTCTTGTTCTTGTTTCTTCTGCTATGTTCAGATGTGCAGTCTCTTGATAACATAAGAACGACAGCACTTGGAATGTGCATGAGCATAAACGACAGTATAAACACTAGCTGAATGCAGCGACAAAGTCACTTGCAGCCTTGACGGGACTGCATTAATGACCCTCTTGTCTAACCTTTGTCCAGCCAGTATTTGACATCTTGTTGTCGTGTGTACACCAGCTCTCGTGCATCCCTGCAGACATTATGAATATGAGTACTGAGGTGCCAGGAATGACTCATGTTGAGCACCGCGTTCATAGTGAACTCTTCCACACCACGTCTCTCCTCCGCACTCCGCACCACATGAGGGTTTTTCTGTTGGGTTCAAATAAGAAACATCGGAACGTCTCAGGGCATAAAGTTAATGCTTAGAAATTAAGACACATAACACAAAAAATACTAGTACAATACACCAACAGTGGTTCAATAATTCTCACCTTGCTGATTATTAATACATAATACATGTGTAAGTCTTTGTGGTTATACTTTGGACTTTTTAACACTTATTCCTGTGCTATGCCTTGTCCCTATGCTGACATTGTTAAGTGTTATTGAAAACATTTTAACAAACTTATTTCCAACAAGATATGATTCATAAGACATTTAGGGAAAAAATAAGTTATTTTTTTCCATTCATCAAAAGTAAATGGAATAAAGAAAGAAATGTATACTATACAGGTTTGGAATGACATGAGGGTGAGTAAAAGACACTTTTTTTTTTTTGGGTGGACTATCACTTTAAGCCACGGCCAGCATGAAAGTTAGCCTAAGCTGGTGTTTTCAGCAGGGTGCCACAGATGGTGTTGTAAAATTCTTTAAATTTTGACCTGTCTGAGTCGAGCCATGGCCTCACTGGGGATCAGCTCTCCATGATCCAAATGCGAGATGAAGCAGAGGGCCTGATACTGAGATTGGCCCTTCTCTGGCTCCCCAAGCACCAGTGCACGAAAAATCTTCACATGCTATTAGAAGGAAAAAATTAAAATAATGCTTAGACACACAGTCATACAACCTACATTTCATCCATGAATTAGGGGATTGTATTACCAGGATATTTTCCCGATGAAATTACGGGACATGCAAATTAGAAGAACAAGCTTACATATACAGACGTATTATTTTCCAGTAAAAATATTTAATCCTTAAACAATAGGCATTTACTTGGAATTTGTAGAGAGGCTAAGCTGCATAAGATAACAATATTTAAAAATCTATTTTTTAAGTATAAACCTCAAAAAATGTTGTTAGATGTAATAAAGAAAAATACAGCGAAACAAAAGCTTTTTTTTTTTTGGTAAATATGAGAACAACAGGCTGTCGAAAATGTCTTCACTGTTTATTCACTTGATCTTTTATTGAACATATTCACAAAAACATTTACAAACATCTTTTCGCTATAATACTGTATATATGTGCCACAATTCTTGGCAACCGTTCATGTAATACTTTGTGCAACCTCCCTCTGCCAAGGCAACAGCTTCACCACAGATGTTTTGGTGGAACAAATATGTATTTTATTTACTTCACTTCACTTGTATTTTTCCCATAATTTGACTTCAATCAAAGGTTAGAGTCTATTGAATATTTTAATAAAAGACTAATATAGATATATAAATGTACCAATATAGATATAATATAATATAAAAGAGTAAAATGATAAATTTTATAGCCTGTTCTAATCCTATTTAACAAGGGTTCTAATATTATTAGAGGGTGCTGTATAAAAAGAAGAAAAAAAAAATAGCATTTAAGAAAAACATCTAGCTTTAAGCAAAATGGATTTACCTTAGAAGCAATTTGCATAAGATATTAGAACTTATTTTAACAGAATGAATATTGAAAATAAATATATTTCTTCTTGTTCTGCTGGAATTTTTCTAATTTTTAAATTTTACTGTATTTTTTGCAGTATGAAAGTTCCAAAAGTTACTTGTTCTAATTTTTTTAAAGCCTTTATTTTGTGAACACTAAAATAAAACAGAGGCCCCAGCTCTTCAGAGCACATGCAACTCAAGCATAACCTCTTACCACGCTCTGAGCATCAGCTGATCCACTAACTTCCCCAGAGCAAAGCAGGCTAACTGCTCCCATATGCACATATAACCAAGAATACAGCCTCTCTTTCATTACAACAATGCTGCTTTTCTTTGCCTCCGTCCTAGCGGTAACTGCACTTCAGCATTCACACTGAATATGACTGGAGTTGTGTGAATGTCAGCAAGAGAACAGGCACTTTTTCCTTTAAAAAAAAAAAAAAACTAGAAGAATATACTTTGTTTTGGAAAGGTCTGGTAGATTTTGTTACACAGAGCGATGTGAAATCACAGAAAAGTTGGAATTGCTTCACTAAAAGCTAATGGCTTCTTGAATGTAAAGAGGAATGTGTGTTTGATGGTCAAACATGTTGTGAGGCCATCAAAATGACACTCTATATAGAGTGAGAGGAAGTACTTCATAGACTCAGTGTTTTCAGGACAACAGGGGGCCTGATAGATGAGATTAGTCATAACTGCTGCTCTTAAAGGAATATTCTAATTTTACTGTACATTTCTGCCATATGTACATCAATTTGACAGACACCATTGACAAGCTACTACTAAATATATTGTAGAAAATGAATTTTCTGTAAAGTTGCTTTGCAGCGATTTGTATCGTGAAAAGCGCTATACAAATAAACTTGAATTGAATTGAATTCTGGGTTCAGTATAGTTACGCTCAATCGGCAGCATTTGTGGCAGCATTGATTAAACCAACAAATAAATCTGAATTGTCGCAACACGAAAATGTTAGCATTAGATATTTTCACACAAACATCACGTTAACTGATAACGAACTGTTAACTGATGACTAATTTTAAAACATTAAGTAATTTAATGTTTAAAAATTGGCCCCATTCACTTCCATTGTAAGTGCCTCACTGTAACCCAGTGTAACCCAAGTCTGTGGTTTTCCCACAGAACTGAGCTACTGTTATACTGTTGATTATTTTCTTTGTCCGCGGGTTGAAGCAAACCTCCCCGCACCCCCGAAATGTGATTTCGACTGAAGGGAGACCCCATCGAAAAATTATTTTAAAAATGTTTTTACACTATGTCAACAATAACTTGTACTGAACCCAGAACCTTCTTTTAAATTCATCCAAATCATGACGAGTAGACACGCCCCTTATTGCTGATTGGCTACAAGTTTGTTTTGCGATTCGGCCCGAATCAGTTTTCTAAAGTGTTTTTGAAAAATCACTTACTCTGCCTTTAATGTTCCAAGGTAATTAGTGTAAAAAAACAAACAATCAAAAATTGACATGAATTTAATTACAATGTTGTATAATATATATTCATGGAGTCTATGATATTCCCTGGCCTGTGTTTCTTTGGCTGCACTGCACATTGCATGATGTTTCCCATACAGTCAACAGCATGACTTTGGCTGCAAGACTATTTGGCAACTTGCAGCTTGATTTCATCCAACTTTCCAAGGATGAAAATAAATCAGACTAAAATGTGATCCTGCAATTTTAGTATGTCTATTGGGAAAAAATGCTTTGTTTCAGTGCGCTGACAGTATCGTAACTGTTTTTATGGCCAAAATCTTCTGATCTTCAGATAGTAATTTACATCAACACAAACAAATCTGTTAGATAGATGCTTTAATATTAATCTAACAATGCCACTTTAAAGTTCTCTCAAATCTTTAAAATAACATTCATAAAAAGCTGGTAAATACATGTATGTGATTCATAAAACAAGACCTGATGACAAGCTGTAAAGATGGAAAAGCATTTTTGAAGCTCTCTGTTCTTTAACCAAATCAAAACAAATTATGTAAGTAGTGCCATCAAGTGGAATATCACCATTTGAAAAAGTACCATGGTGCAGTGATGGCATCAGATGGTAATACCATGGTACACTGATGTACATACAGCACCATTATAGCAAATGATGCTAGCTATGATAATGGTAGGCTAATCATTTACCATCATACACACACACAAAAAATCAATAAAAATAAAAGTATCATTGTACATCCATGTTTTTGGAATATACTATGTATTTTGAAATACTTTGGTACTTTTCAGAAAAATGCTATATATGCCTACATCAGATAGTAATAGCTCTGAGATACTGAAATTCATATACCACAGTATTTACTTTCTCCGCGATTCTTGTAAGAATACCAACAGTGCTGCATGTCCAACAAACATAAACACCTTTTGACAATAAACAACTTTTGCACTCTCAACTTCATGTTTTGTTGCCACACAGTAGTTTATGTAAAGCAGGGCTGCACTGGGATTTAAAAGTGCAAGTCTCTGATTATTTTCAGTTCATACGTGGTTGAATTACATTTAGTTGGGATTTATACTCACGCGCTTGAAATCAGACAGGAATGTGACGAGAGTCCCGTCTGTCTGCCTGAACTCCACAGTTATAATGTCCTTCTCACTATCCGCCTCTAATAGCTCCTCCGTTATTTGACCATCGTTGAGACGAACGAGCACCGTCAACCGTGAGCAAACACTTACCGATAACAGCAGCGCAAACGCGACGAACGCTGTCTGGACTGAAGCCGGTAAAGTCGCTCTCGCGTTCATTACAAAAGACGCCAAGGATGTAAACTCATTTAACACAACAATGGGACATATCGTCGGAGTAAATTACTTAAAACAGGCAACAAAACGGTGGAGAGCGAATGTAAACGACTTTTTAGAGAGGTAGTTAACGTTCGATGACAAAATAATATAGTTCGTGAACTTGCAGCTCGATCATGATGGCAGAAATTGCGCCACCGTCAAAATTTGAATTTTCATCTAATGTTTGCTCGTGATTCAGAAAACACTGGCTTAATTATACACGAACAGTTTCTTCTTAAAAGCCTTCTCTTCATACAGTTTTTTCTTCTTCTGTTCGTTTAACGTTAACTCGTAAGGCTCCTATATTCCCGTCACTTCCTCTGAACTTCAGTAATTTGGCTAAAGGCGCCTCGGGCTCCCACTGCATGGGGCCACTTCTTAAAGACACAGGCTCAGATTTCAGACGGTTAAAACTACTTACTCTATTTACCATATATATATATATATTTGTTTCAATATGTTAGCCGTTTTTATAAATATAATTTAATGAATGAATTAAGCATATAGCATTTATAGGTATTTATATTAATTAATTAATTATAACCCTCTGTGGGACATGGACATTGGCTTATATTTTAATAAAAACATTTTTTAATTATTATTTTTCCCGACCCTTAATAAATTTCATTATTATTATTATTATTATTATTTTAATTTATTTATTTCATAATAATAATAATGGTTGTTGTTGTCTTATATTTATTCAAATAACAATTTATTTTCCATTATCTTTTAAAATCAACATCAAAAAATACATCACATTCACAGACCTATCAACAATAAGACACTTTTCATTGCTGTACACCACGTGCTATTTGAGATTTGAGTAAAGCATCTGTGCAAGGTAACAAACATTGTAAAAATGTCCCCCAAAATGGTGACTCTTAAGTCACACCTAAAAATATATGAATATCATTGCACTACATTACACAAAAATCAAACCAAGTAGTATTATTTAAAACAAACAAACAAATCTCCAGTACACTGTTCATGCAAAACAATTCTCAAGAAGTTTGTTACAGGTTTTGAATGACAAAGAATTGTTGTATTGTTCAAAATTATGACTAAAGTATTTGACAGTTTTCAAATGAAAAGGGCTAATTCACCCAAAAATGATAATTCTTACATAATTTACTCACCCTGTTCCAAAACTTGTATAATTTTATTTCTTCTGCAGAACACACCACAAGATATTTGAAAAAAATGTTTGTAGTTAAATTTGAACTCTAACCAAAAAAGTGTGTTGCCAGTGTTTACGGTTAGAGTTCCTTCGGACCCTGCGTCCATTGAAATGGACATCACAT